CCCCAAAACCCCAAAACCCCAAAACCCCAAAACCCCTCTGCCTACTTATAGTGTTGGTTCTACCGTAATTTATTAAATCATCAACAATGGAGACCAAGAGCATGGATAGCTTTTTCGATATATTAAACTTGAATGATACTAAAAGGGCATCCCAGCTGTGCCAGAAACTTGAAGAATGCAATAATGAAGATAAAAAGGCCTATTTCGCTAAGATTATTGAAGAATGCACCTACAACCAGACCTCCAACCCTCCTAAAAATTTGAAAATCTCAGCCAGTAAAAAGAGAATGAGAAAGAAGACTAAGGAAGAACTGAAGCTTCTGGAGTACTTTTTGGAGCAAGACTCAAAATGGACGAGGAAGACAGTTACAACTGCTGCAAAGGTTCTTGGACTGACCACTTACCAGGTATATAAATGGGGATATGACAGGAAAAACAAGAGAGAGCTGAAATGAGCAACTCAGTTTTTAAAGGAACTAGAGATAACAAACTCCATGATTGATAAGATCAACAAGTTTGATCATGGGATCAATGATGAAATCGGCGAAGATCTCAACCAAAAGGTAGAAGATCTGTTCATATCTACTGAGAAATCTAGAAATAGTATGGCTCGCAGAACAGAAATCCCGATAGGAGAACTGAGCATGCATAAAGATCTGCTTCATAACTCAAGGTTGGATATAGATCCTGACTATAGTCCCTTTGATGCACCTGCGACAGGGTGTGAGGGACCATTTAAGATCACTAAGGTGCCAAGGAACAACAGACATGGAACTAAATTTCCAAAAATTTGTTCATCTAGTCCTGCAAAAGGCCTAGATTTTGATATCATTGATCGTATGTCAGATTATCAGAAATATAAGGATCTTAAATCTGAGTCAAAAGATATCATAGAGAGATACTCAGACATCACAAATGATAAGTCTAGCACTTCTTTCATCAATGAATCTGATGAGGATGCTGCTTCACCCTTCCAGGTTAAAAGTCCTGAGTTATCAAAGTAAGTATCGAAAAAGAGAGAAATATCTAATTATTCTATAGACAATTAAATGAGATCGAGGAACTACTGTCTAAAGATAGCAAGCATGGCGATTACTTCGATTGAGCCAATATGCTGGACGGTGTCTCTCTCCCAGGATGAAGTAATGAGGACTCTGATGGTCAGGAGTACTCTAAGTCTCCTGAGTTCGACCAGTCAAGTTATCAAACTGATCGAGGTTTATATTTGAAAAATGTACAGTCGGATCTTCAAAGCATCGAAGCCGTATTCTTCTAAAGCAACCAATTGTTCTTGGCGCTCAAGAGGATATGGAGGCTTTGAGACCGCTCTGCCAGGTTTCACTCGGCATTGAGCGTCTCTTGTAATTAAGCCATTATATTTATTCCGTAATCAAGGTTACGCTAACACAAACATATCTTGTCCTGTCTCATTTTAAAAAGGTTATTTTTATTTAGACATGTCGGATTTCGATTTATTTCTTATACCATCAGATTTCTTTCAAGAAAAATATAATAATAAGGGGTTTTGGGGTTTTGGGGTTTTGGGGTTTTGGGG